TTACCTGGTAAGAAGTCCTAGGCCAAGCCATGGTTGTAGGAATGTGTACAGATAAGACTTGTCAATTTGCTTTGAGCTAGTTAAAATTACCTTAGAAAGAGAGAAAAGAAAAATGAGAGATAGAGATATGAAAGCAACCTTAATTATTAGAATACTGGGCTAGAACACAACTACTTTCTAAAGTAACATTTCATAACAATTACTTCTTGGTGGTTCATTTTCATTACTATGACTCAAAGAAATGCAATTAGAGTTTGGAGCATAAAACTGTCTCTCACTCTTGGACACTAGCTGGAGTTGACTGAAAGGAAAATGTCCAAGATAATTCCCTAACTCCTGCCATGAATTAGGAGCCAAGTGCAGTTGTTCATTGAGGGTAGGAGTGAGGGAAGAGAAGGTGGGTGAAAGCAAAGGTATGTCCACATTTAGGGAGAAGGAAATCACAAGTTCATGATCAGGTAGTTGATTTGGAGTCATTCAAGTTGCATAGTCTGAAAGCAGGTATGAAGCTCAGGATTAAGGCTTATACTAGGTACACATTTGAATGTCTCCAGGATAGAAGTAGCATTGGGAACCATGGGTATAATTAGGTTGCCTGGAGCCAAAGTAAAGCAGAAGGGATGAGCATATGCACAAAATGCTTCTCAGGTGTCTTGCTGCAGTTCCCTACTTTGGACAGATCTCTATCCACGTGTACTAACCCCACTTATACTAGGCCAGCAATGGCTGAAATCCCACATGTGGCCCTCTCGCTATCTCCTCTGGACCAGTAGATTTAGCAGTGTGGTACCAGAGACACTCTAAGAGTTTTACCACAATGAGTAAGAAAGATGTATCTAAACCCAACAACCCTAGGAAATACTGCTGTTAATTTTGCTCCATGAGGAGGTTTGCTTATCCCATTTTTACTTCCTGACCCAAATCCTTTGTCATCAAACCAAAATATAATACCCCCAATGTCATGATAATAAGTAAAAGAAAGGTAAACAATTTTGAGGAGTAATTTCAAAAGAGTGAATTAACAATATCTTCCCCATCAATATCAGATTAGTGTTCCCTTTTAAAAAAATAACTTAAAATAATAAAAGTAGAATGGATACTGTGAGCATCTTAAGGGAAACACTTACATTTTATTAGTCTTATATTTGTGTAATCTTAAAACAGTGCCTTGGCAGATGATATGAGCTCACCTTGTAGAATAATTTATTTATGGTTCTGTTCAACTGAAGATTTCCCAAAAAAGGAGGACAAATATATTACTTGATACCAAGTGTGTATAGACATGTAGAAGCTGCTACTCTTCCCAGAACTCAGACTATATTTGGAAAGCATTAAATGGAACCTTCACAGCCTTAGATTTTTAATGTTATCCTCATTGTATTGAATTCAATTAAATATAAGGACATATATTTGCTGTTTATTCTGATGAGATTCTCACATCATCATATATACAGTGGAACATTGATCATATTCACCATAGACTCACCTCTATAGTTTCGGCTTTATACATGGCTATTGCTGGTACTGTGCCAAACCAGAGTTTTAGCATTGGCACATGTCTGTTTTCTTCAGTGAAATGAATCAGGTGCTGGAAAAACTCTAGGAGAAAATATTGAATTTTAAATAAGTTACTTACTGTGTCATTTTTGGGTTTTTACTCTTTTTACATTGGGCAACTCACTCAATACCTCCCAGATCTTTCATATCTTGAAGCTAAACCACACATTTGTCCTTACTAAATTATTAACGAATGAATTATGAGGCTAATTTAATTATGAATGATATATATGCAACAACCTGGTTAACTGAGAAATGCCAAGCACTGTGGATGTTTGTGGTGACCTTATCACATGCCTTCCACAAGAACACCGAGGTTGTTCAGTTTCTCCTGCCCTGCTTCAGGCTAGTGTTCTATAGAAAGGGATACCTGTCCCAACTCTCCAGCCCTGGTAGATAGATGCTTCCCTTTCTCCCTCTCTAAAACAGTATTGCAGTTCCTCAGCAAATTGAGATTAGAGCTAAGATATGATCCAGCAATTCCTCTCCTGGGTATTTATCTGAAGAACATGAAAACACTAATTCAAAAGGATATATGCACCAAAATGTTAATTGCAGCATTACTTAGAATAGCCAGGATATGGAAGCAACCTTAGGTGTCCATCAATGGATGAATGGATAAAGCAGATGTGATAATATTAGCAGAGCTGGCATGGCTCCGTGGTTGAGTATTGACCCGGTCAGGCCATATGCCCGGGTTGTAGGCTTGCCCCCCAGTGTGGGGCATGCAGAAGGCAGCCAATCAATGATTCTCTCTCATCACAGATGTTTCTCTCTCTCTCCCTCTCTCTTCCACTCTGAAATCAACAAAGAATATATATATTTTTAAAAGATAAAATATTGTCATTTGTGATAACATGAATGGATCTTACAGGTATTATGGTAAGTGAAATAAGCCAGACAGACAAGGACAAAAACAGTCTGATTTAACTCCTATGTAAAATATATTAAAAAGTAATAGATAAACAAATATAACAAAATAAAAACAAATTCAAGGATACAGAGAACAGAATAGTGGTTACAGAGGAGAAGGAAATTAGAGAGAGGGCAAAGTAGGTAGATGGGGTTAAACAAATGGTAATAGATGGAAACTTGACTTTTGGTTGTGAGCACCCAAAAGAGTATACAGACATCAAATTATACTATTGTACACCTGAAATTTAGATAATGTTATTAACCAATGTGACCTCAAGGAAAAAAAAATAATTTTACAAAAACTCTTCTCTTTTACTAATCTTTCAACTTCTCAAATGTCTCAGGGCCTCTACAGAACCTCTTCTCTTTGTAGAAAACTCTTATTCCTACTGCTTTTTGTCTAATAACACTTACTTATTCTTCAAGTGTCATCTTAAATGTGATTTTGCTGCAAAGTCTTCTCTGATATTCTTAACAGGATTTCTGATAATATAACTTCCCAGGTTGGCTTCCATTTCTAGTACGGGCACCAGATCTCAGTATTTCTAAAGACTGTCCTACAATGGAATAAACCAATTCTCCTTGGAGAAGTCATTGATTTTAGGTCCAGCTCTCAGAGAAAAGACCTGGCAATGGTTAGACAGAGCCCAAGTCAAACAACATGAGGTCACGGGAGGACTGGCTTTCTAATTAGGTTAGGAAATGAGGCACTCTCCTGAGATTGCTGGCAAAATCCAGGGAGGGAGGGATAAGGAGAGCTGACTAGCTGGGAGGCATGTGGTACCCAGGCTTCTTCTAGGCAGAGGGAATGCCCCCTTGACAGCAGCAGGACTAATGCCCACAGCACTGTAAGGCTACTAATAGAGATGACACCTGAGATTTTTTTTCTCTTTTTTTCTTTTTTTTAAAAAAAATAAATCTTTATTGTTCAGATTATTACAGATGATCCTCTTTCCCCCCCACCCTCC